AGTATTTTAAGTCTATCCGGGCACTGACTGGTAACCAATGAAGGGTTTGGAGAACTGGGGTTATGTGACAATGATATGGAGATCTTGTGACCATTCTTGCTGTGAAATTTTGGATTCGCTGAAGGCGATTTAGTTGATTTTGCGGTAGGCCGGTGAGAAGACTATTACAATAGTCTAGTCGCGATAGAATTAATGATCGCGCTAGAGCTGAAGCTAAATCTTGTGTGAGAAGATGGCGGATGGAACTGATGTTCTTCAGATGGCAGTAGCATTTTCTACACAGATCATCAACTTGTTTCATAAAGGTCAGACCACTATCCAATAAAACGCCTAAATTTTTTACCACTGATGTTGGCGGAAATTCCATACCTCCTATGTCGAATTTTAAATTTGACAAGTGCGATAATCGAGTTTTGGAGCCAAATAGGATCACTTCGGTTTTATCTGCATTTAATTTCAAGCGATTTAAATTCATCCAGGTTTTAATTTGTCCGATACTGGTAGCCATTTTAGTGAGCACCTCTGTCTGATCTGATCCAGGAGTAAACGAATCTAAAAGTTGGGTGTCGTCAGCATAAAGATGGTGACAGACAGAATTTTGATTTAGAACATCTCCAAGCTGCTTTGTATACATGGTAAATAAAACAGGTCCTAAAACAGAACCTTGAGGAACACCACACACTAGCGGAACACATTCTGATTTGTCTGAGTTGACAATCACAGATTGATTTCGAGATGACAGATAAGATCTAAATCATTCCAAAACAGCGCCATTAATACCAAAGTCTTTCTGAAGACGGAAAGGCACCTTTTGGTGGTCTATTGTGTCGAAAGCTGCCGAAAGATCTAACAACATCAGCTGTGAAAGACGTCCCTTATCGACACACATCTTAAGGTCGTTTACAACTTTGTTTAAGGCTGTTTCAGTTCCATGATGAGGTCTATAAGCTGACTGAAACTCACAAAACAAGTTGTTTTTTTCAAGATGATCAAATAACCGGGTTTTGACTGCTTTTTCCAGAATCTTGGATAAAAAGGACAGATTGGAAACCGGCCTGTAATTTTTAAGAATATTTGGATCAAGAGATGGTTTCTTAAGTAAGGTTTTACCACAGCTGATTTGAAGAGTGCTGGAACAGTACCAGTCACAAGGCTCTTATTGATAATGCTGGTGATGGTTGGCAGTAGAATGCCCAGATATGTTAGAAAAATGCTAGTCGGAATTTGATCAAGCTCGCATGATGTTGGTTTTGAGGATTGCACTAGTTTCTGAATTTCATCATCCGTAAAAGGTGTAAAAGCTCCCAGTAAAGTACCGGAATATCTAGGATTCTTAAATGCAAGACTAGAGTAATCGTGATTATTTATCGACTGCTGGATTGTGACAATCTTATCATGGAAAAAGTTACTGAATTTGGTTGCGAGGGATTCAGTATCATTATCAACCACAGGATGCTTCCCTTCATCACGCTTGCCCATTAATAGGATGACCCGTGCACTCTACAGAAAGTTGGTCTCGACACGGCTAAATGTGCACGCTTCAGTTGCGTGTCTCGAACTGATTTCTGACTACCCCGCACTCTCTTTGAGTCGATAAATAGCCATGCACGTGCAATTCTCTACAAATATATCAACTATTACAGCCGTAAAAAATCTATTGTTGACGATTTTGAATAGCAGTAAAATTTAGCTTCTTGGTTATTACAGCAGCTTTAGAAATTACGTTTGTTTTATTTTTTAAATTGCTTTATCATTAACTGTACCGTTAAGAGCGGCATCTTTTGGTTTAGTACAAATAATATCTCTGAAACACTCGGGTTAGACAGGAACGTGATACTAGCAGTAGTTTCATTTTACTTTTACAAGTTTCTTAAAACAATTGTTGAGTTGTCTAAAGTGCTTATTTCTAAATTCAATTTCTTGTTCTAGCTTTCTGTTATGTTTCGTAAAAAAGTAGTCTTGATTATCCCGACCTGTCAATCAGACGTAGAATGATCGATAGACTGGTTAAGCGAGACTAATTTCAAAACAAGGGCACGTAACCTATCTTTTACTCAAAAGTGACTGGATGTTATGGACGACACTTGAAACCAGTTTTCAGTCTATTATTTCTACATGATTAATGGTCATAGCTTATTAAGTACAACATGATCGTTTATTTAGTGACTATAATTGTGTGAAACTGATTTGAGGCTTGGTATATATATAAATATTGTGGCGTAATTGTCGAGATATTTGGAGATATTTATTTATGGTGGGTCACCCTACCATTAAAGAAAACATAAAAGAGTAAAGGGCTTCAGAATTACCAGTGTTTGACTCGATCTGCTCTTTACAATATTTGACCTTTGCAGACTTAAGGAGATTATTAACATCATTTCTGCAGCTGACATAGATTTGTCGATGGATCTCTAAACGAGATTTTCGCCAATTTCTCTCTGCTTTCCTTCGCACATTTTTAGCTAGGCAGATGGCCTCAGAATACCATGGCGATCTTGGCTTAATTCTGACACGCTTCGAGACCTTTGGGGCATGTATATCCATCAGGTTGGTCAGTGTTGTAAAGAATAGATCTGCAAGTTGATCCAAGTCTTCAGGAGGATTTTTCAGCAGTTTGGATTCTGTCAGATCTTTACTAAAAACTAACACAGATATTCCTTTGATATTCCTACAGGTGACAAGTTGGGGTGCTTCTACAGGTCTTTCAAAATCAAGAGATAAAAATATCCAGAAATGATCGGACATCTGATTGTCTACCACATCACAAGATTTTACTGTTTTCTCAAAAGAACTAGTTACAATCCAATCAAGAATATGTCCACTTTTATGTGTACAACTTTCAACAAGTTGAGTGAGATTATGAATAGATAATAAATCCACTATCTTCTTTACTTCAGGTTTGTCTGGGCAATCAAAATGAACATTAAAGTCTCCAAGGAGAATAAGCTGACCACGTTTAACACAAACAATGCCTATTAACTTGGAAAATTCTTGATAAAAGTCAGACACAGAACATGATGGAGATCTATAAACACCTACAAATCTTAGAGTCTGAGACACATGAGTTACTAGAAATTCTACAGATTCAAAAGACGTGAAAACCTCAAGTTGTGATGCAACCACTACAAGTTTAATATAGCTTTTGTAAATAATGACAATGCCACCACCAGTACCATGTAATCTAGGAAAGCTTTTTGAGGAGTAACCATTTGGGGTTAATTCATTCGGTTTTGAGTCATCCCCAGTCTTCTTTAACCATGATTCAGTGATTAACACAATGTCAAGTTTATTTTCAACAATTTCGTCTGATATTGCTAAAGTTTTATTTCTAGCAGATCTTGCATTCCAAAGTGCTAGTTTAATATCAGAGTGTTTAGGTTGTGAAAAGAGGTTATTGGGACAAGTGACCTTTTTGAATTGATCATCTTTAACTAAATTGTCAACAACTGAGTTGACATCAGCAAGTTTTTGTTTTCTAACTCCTGCTCTTTTACCCCTTCTTGTTGGTTTTGAGTTAGAAATACCAATTTGTCGAAAAGTAGTCACTTCAGATTGATCTAGCTTAATGACATCTTTTTTTAATGAGTTTATGTTCAATAGCTCATCTCTACTGTAGTGATTAATCTGGTTGGTGGAAATCATCAGAGCTTGGGTGTTAAATATGAGTTCACTGTAACTTTTCAGAATTATCCAGAAATAAAATATAAATATCATCCAAAACAGCATAGTAATCCATTTGTTTTCATTCACAAAACTAAATCCTGAGTCTGAAAGACTTTGGAAACAGACTAGTCCAAAAATTATATTTGAAAAATCTCTTAAAACTTGTAAATATTAGCAAAAACTGAAGAGCCAAAAACTTTGTGTGCTGCCTGTTAAGCGCTCACAAATCAAAATATAGCTATAATATTAAATTGTTTATTTTAATAAACTATTATCAATCTTTTATTACAATACATTACAACAAATTGCAACGAAAGTATACATTAATTTCTTGTCAACAAAAATGACATACACGAGTTATCTCCCGCGAACCTCCGATTTGGGCACAAATCAGCGAGGCTTCTTAAATTCAACTAAATTGTTATATTGTGTTTCCACAGTCAACATTTTTGGGGTTAGTGGCTGTTATTTTGGAGTTATTGGGTAATTCGACGCAAATTGTTATTATGTGTTATTTTGGCGTTCGGTCTATTGGGTAATACGACAAGCCCTACGTTATCATAATCATGATGCATAATTTGAAATGAATTCCGGTATTCTTTCAAATAAATTCACCTACAGCGCCTTTTTCTGGCCTGCGGAGAGATCAAAATGTATTATACATTTAAAATAAGTGAGTTTTGTGGGAGGAATCGGGGATTTTAGAAGTGAATTCCGGTGATTGTAAATGAATTCCGGTGAATTCCGGTGATTAGTCTACCCGCTAAATAACAACTGACAACCAAATACTAGCCTACTACATTAACATATGCTTGTAATTATATCAGCCAAATGTGTAATAACAGTATTATCCTCATTAATAACCTGTGTAGCGCTATCCACAATCTTTGAAGCCATACTGCCCATAGTTAATTTCCTTTTATAAAAGTACAAGTCCAAACGCTTACATATCACGGTTGAGTGATTCCTGGACAACAGGCAAACACGTCCTCTCACCTCGACATCACCTCGATAGAACTATCAATTTCTCAAGCCAATCAACTTAGATCCGTTGATCGTGTAACTCATGATCACTAAAACAACAGCTAATCACGATAACAACTACAAGCATGTTTAGGTCTATTAATGACCAAACTCTAACTAAATACGTTCCAAAACACCGATCAATGATCAGGAACCATTTCACAATGGCGGAAGTAGATATAGGCTAGCTGCGTTGTTAACATAAACAACAGTCTCGGACATGCGCAAGTGCCCACCATCTCAAACTGTCACACCGGTGATTGTAAATGAATTCCGGTGAATTCCGGTGATTAGTCTACCCGGTGAATTCCGGTGATTGATTAGTCGAGCTCTTCGCCATCTAGTGACAATTTGCGAAATCATAACAGAGAAGATTCTACACGAAAGTCGAGAAAAAAATTAATAATTTAGACTGAAATATGTTTAGTTTCGAAGGGAATTTCAGGAGAAAGCCCGTCCAGTCACTACGAGGAGCCAGTAAAAAGGTATTAAATTCTTCAGATTAGCCTAGCCTTTTGGAATTGAATCAACACAACAGGCCTGCTTCATTGTCACGTTCTCGCGGTACTATTTCAGTAACGTACCTCTACCAGTTCCTGTGATCGTAGAGACTTGAAATTTTCAGGGGGTGTTCACGGGGACTAGCCATAACCTCACACGAAATGTCAGTCGAATCGGTCAATAACTTTTTATTTTACCGTAGTTTAGCTTAGAGATAAATTTATCCGATTTTGACGCCATTTTGTTTGTTGACTATTTAGGCTCGAATGACGTCATATGTGGATTGTGGGTTAGGAATGGTTAGGGTAAGGGCTAGGACCTGTAGATTTCGTTATAGTCTCAAGATGTAGACAGGGCTAACCCTAACCCTGTCTTGTTATTCGAGTCTAAATAGCCAACAAACAAAATGGCGTCAAAATCGGATAAACTTTCTCGTTATATAAGCTAAACTACGGTAAAATAAAAAGTTATTGACAGATTCGGCTGAAATTTGGAGTGAGGTCATGGCTAGGCCCCATGAATACCCCCTGAAAATTTCAAGTCTCTACTCTCTACGATCATGGGAACTGGTAGAGGTAGGCTACGTTACTGAAATAGTACCGTTCTCGCTAGCCTATATATTCACAAGATTAGATAAGACATAAGATAAGATAAGATAAGATTTTATTGTATCGAAACACCCATTGACGACAGCATACAATATAAACATGTACATAAAATTATAACAATATGACAATTATACGGGTAGACTAATCCGGCACGTCGAATTACCCAATCAATAACACCCAGTAACTGCCCAATAACACCCAATAACTGCCCAATCAATAACACCCAATAACTCCAAAATACAACCAATAACTACTAAGTGTTGACTTTGGAAAGGGGATCACGTGGCTAAGTGGGTAAGACGCTGGCTCGCTAGCCTGGAGGTCGGGTGTTCGATCCCTGCATTGGCCGAGAAAGTTCATCCAGATTTTCCGGCGTGGTTTCCCCTTGTCAGTGATGCAGGACGGAGGGCCTGACAAGGACAGCTGTCTAGTTGTTCGGATGGCGTGCACGTAAAAGATCCCTTGGCACTTGGAATTCGATATAAGAGTAGGCCGCTGCCTGGGCAAAATTTCCCTCATAGCACACTGTATGGTGTATGCCCGTCTTCATTAGCCCAGTTTAGGAGGAGCAGAACTATAGGACATTAAACCCCATTTCATATTCATTGACTTTGGAAACACAAAATAACAATTTAGGTGAATTTAAGAAGCATCACTGCTTTGTGTCCAAATCGGAGTTTCACGCTCACTCGCCTGAAGGGAGATAACTCGTATATGTGATTTTTGTTGACAAAATATCAATAACACCCAATAACTGACAAATAACACCAAGTTGTTGACTTTGGAAATACAAAATAACAATTTAAATTTTAGTTGAATTTAAAAGCCTCGTTGCTTTGAGCCCAAATCAGAGTTTCACGCTCACTCGCCTGAAGGGAGATAACTTGTGCATGTGATTTTTGTTTACAAGAAATTAATGTATGCTTTCGTTGTAATTGTTCTTCACATATGCATGTTTGGCAGGTAGTTTTAATTTATAACCCGGGAGCCAGTGAGATTTAATCAAAATATTGAGCCCAAAAGGTTTGAGGTCTACAACACATATTTTACCCCTAGATCATTTTGGAAAGTCAAGTCTTAAGTTTTGTAACCTGTGCATATACCTGGGAGCGCTCCCCCTAACCCTCCCATAATTAATGGGAGTTAAAATTCAATGTCCATCTACAATTTTTTTGCAAGCGTTTCACCCTTAACTCTAAGAAACAGAATGCATGACTTAAGAGCATACAATGTTGTGCTAATGCTACTTAAGAGCTTAATTAATTAGCACTCATTAGTGACTGTAATTAAAATTTAGAGTCCATAACTGAAACAAAGCCTAAAAGCTAGCTAACCAAGTCATGAAACCAAAAATATCACTTAAGAGCGACAAAAGTTGAACAAACCTTGCTTAAAGATACATTATGGGAGATTTTTATAGAGAGTTGGCCATTCTTGCTATAACAGTTCAAAAGTAGATGATGAAAGAAGAATATATTGAAAAATTCAGTCAAATTACTTTATTCTGAACATAGTTATCATCGTTGTAATATTTGCCTAGAAATGGTAGCGAATTGTGTCTTCACCTTGGCTGATCGTTTGATTGACAGGCGTTAACTCCACCTACATATCTCGATTATCAAGTAAAGTTTTCAATGGCATACCGAAACGCTTTACAGCGGCCTCACTAAGTACACTCTATCATTTAGCCTTGATCTAACTGACGTATTTTCATCAGGTTACCCTTTATTTGATTTAATCAAATAGTGAAATCCTATTTAAATCCGAGCTGTAGCCGAGCCATCCATGGGTCTACAGAGTTGATTTTGGATAAAGATCTAATTTATAATTTCTATAACATCTGAAGCCTAAATTAAGACTTGCAATAATCAGATTTAGCTCTTGCATAATGCATGTTTAAGACTCGTTCAAAGATGACAAAGGTCAAAGGTCACTAACGAATGACCTTAATTAAAAATTTGAGTTCAAAACTGAAACAAAGCCTAACTAAGTCAGGAAACCAAAAATATCACTTAAGAGCGACAAAAATTGAACAAAACTTGGGGTAAGACTGGTGACAAAGGTCATATTTTGGGCCACATTATGACCAATCAACCAATCAAATTGGCTTATCTCTGCTCATCCTAAACATAAAATGCGCATCTTCGAACTCTATCAAGCCATTCACATTAATTAACACCTATACCAAGTTTAAAAATTCTACCTCAATTAGAAGAAGAGTTATTGTGTCCCAAATGGCTTGATGAACAGACAGACGAACGAGCCCATTTTAATAGTCCCCTGCTTTCTTCAAAAGGCGGGTGACAATAATGTTGATGTCAGCAATAATTATGCACTTAAAAGTATGGCAAAGTTATCAGTACAACAAGGAATTTTAAAATTGAAGAAGATTAAACTTCCTTTTAGGCATTATTCGATTTAAAGAAGTAATTCAAGACATAGTTCAATGGGTGAACTGTTTAAAGGGTGATTAGCTCTATTCTTTTGAAGAGACGAAATTGGGTCGGAAAGCACATATTATTAAACATGCATTATGCAAGAGCAAAATCTGCTTATTACAAGTTTTTCTTTAGGCCTGAAATGTTATCTAAATTATCAATTAGACATTAATTAACTTATCCAGACCATAATAAACTCTTGATGTCAAGGCTAGCCTTCAATGTTGGCTGGATTAGATTCCTATATGCCGCTTAACGGCCATTGATAATTAAATCAAAACAGTGGATAATCGAGACTATGCTGTTTATATTAATGATTTTAGTAATGATGACCGAGACTGCAAACATTTCACCCGCTTCGTTTTCGGCTCATAGTGGATCAATTTGACTGAAATTTTCAGCAAAATACCTTTACACTATCTAGTTTTTAACTATTATAGTGAGAACTGCCATCTCTTTATCTTATCTCCCATAATGTATCTTTAATGTAATATGAGTATAAAGTAATATGCCCAAATTTGAATTTGTTTTATTGTATATTCTAATCAATTGTTAAGCGTCATTGTGAAAGATTGGATAAAGAGCTGACACTTAGCGCTATAATAGTTAAAAATAGATAATGTCAAGAGAATATGGTGAAAATTTCAGTAAAGTTGCTGAACTCTGAGTCAAGAAAAAACTCATTTCAATAACACTGTAGACTCAGTTGTCATTGTTAATGTTGTAACGATAATAAACAAGTCTCGCTTATCCATATTTACGGTTAATCACCAAGCATTGTTGAACAGCAGATCAGATTTAAATTTGTGTAAAATCAGACCCATCAGATGTCATCGAGGGTTGATTATGGTCTTGTCATGTTAATACATGTCTAATTAATAGATCATATAACTAATGAAATACCTGCAATTGACTGACTAGCTAATGTATAATACATGTTTATTATGTTTGGTGAAATACGCGAACAATTCAAATTGAACGGCAGTCATTTGCGCCTGCGATAGTATATTCTACACTGTTTGTTTTGTTCTGTTTTTGACGGTGGTGGGGTGTGTGAAACAGCCATTTTAAATTACTTTTGCATTGTCGATAATGTCTCAGGTGTGTGCTTGTTAAAATTAATGTATTTATTTATTGTGGACATATCAATTAGTTTGTGAACAAATTTTTTTATCAACACCCTTTAATTTACTTAACAGAAGACAGTTTTTATGGGAGACAATCACAGGTTTCTATAGCCTACATCAAACTTGACAGAAATGTATGGAACACAATGATGACAATACAAATATTATATCAAAATAATTATCCACTTCGCATATATATAAATAGAAGTAGCATTGGTGGTTTACACAAATCGAATACTGAATTAATCTAGAAATTGTCATGGGTCCGTCGCAGGGATTGTATGCCTTTAAGAAGCATCTCTGGTGTTGAAATCGCCCAAAACAGCATCACATTCCGAAATCCGTGCCTCACTCCACGGTAAATCTAATTTACAGTTGGAAATATTTAGGAGCGATTATCCAAAATAGAATCAAAATTGATGAAACAAGACTATTATCCAACAAGAGTATCGCATGTCTGTATGAATGTATTACTTGTGTGTACATATATGTGTTTTCTATGTTATATGTATTATTAAATGTATACAAGTATTTCTAAACATATATGTATACATGTTGTCCTAAATGGACGTTTTGATGCAATTAACATCTTATCTTATCTAGCACAAACATCTTGTAAGTATAAGCCAGTCTTGATAGCATTATACGAAAAATAACCTTCCAATTTCGACCTTTTTTCCCATAAATATCCATGTAAAGGAGAACACATAAATGTTTCGAAATCATATATGGACTAATTCATAATTTAATTGTCTGCGTTTTTTTTAAAACCAGAGAGTTATCCAGTTCTATACTTCCATTCTCAATATTT